GTTAAGTAAGTAGAAAATATATTGAGAATAGCATAAGATATAATGTTCATAATGAAGTACATTATATACTTTGGCTGAAAACCTAAATTCAGTTTTCATGAAACTTGACAAACTGATTCTAAAATTTGCATTGAAGAAATAAGAAACGTCTAAGAAAAAATCAGGTAGAAAATGTTTCATATAAAATATTGAAATATGTTATGATTATATGGTCATTAAAAGTACGAGATCAATAGAACAACAGACAAATGTACAACTGGGACACAACAGATGGCCTCCAAGAATAATTATGCTTACACGAAATTTTGCTATATATGAATAAGAAGATAGTTCAGATAGTTGAACAAAAACAAACTGGTAGAGAAGTAGTTTGTGGGCAATTTGCTTTCATAAATCATTTTTTTAAAAGGTAATGAAAGTCTGTCTCACAACATAAAGTAAATTCCATATGCATTGAGAATATAAATGTGAAAGGTTAATCATGAAACCTCTAGAAAACAGTCTAAAATACTTCCTGATCCAAAGTATGGAATGCTTCCTTGAGCCAAACAAGAAAGTGCAAATCATGATGAATATGGCATGTTATGCTACTTTAAAGTTAATAATTTTTCTTACAAAGACAAGAAATATAAAATCACGAAGGATGATATTATTCCACAAAAATAACTCTGAAATTCTTTCTGTAATTTAAAGAATAAGGTAAACACAATACACTTTTAGAGGGGCTTAAGTTGGTTGTACGGTGAGTGTGCTTCCAGATGCCAAAGAAATGAAAACTATAAAGGAGAAGAGAAATGATGTAGAGAACCGGAACTAACATCTTATTTTACAATTGTAAGTGTCTCTGACGGAGGGAAACAATTACATTACCAATATTTAAGTTAGTAATTGAATAAAATGTTTAAGAATTCAAAAAGCCACCATAATTTGTATGAAACAAGCCAACAAATCTAAACATATGTATTATACGTGTCTTCAAAGCATTTACATAAATGAAATATTATATCAGATTTTAATCCACACAAAAAGTCACTCCTACAGAGAAGCTTTTAAAAACAGGGCTAGCCTCAGATTTCTCCTGCACAATACTAAGTAACTGGCAATGTTACCATGCTTGCAGATTTGAGGAGAGTTAGTTGTCACTTAA